ATATAATTATTATTTGATGATAAATATTCATGTTTCTGTTTTTTCTTTTAAATATTCTTCAAATATTTCAGAATCTGCTTACTCATAATCCTTTTATAAGCTTGCTAATCCTTCTCTTGCTTCTACGAATTCTCCTTCCTCCATCCCCTCTTATAGATACCAATACACAAAGGCTTTTTATGCAAACATTAAATCATATTAATGGCATAGTTTTGAAAAGATTTAAGTTATTGCTGTTGTATTTGAAATCATACATGCAGATCGTAAAACTTTACATATATCATCTTCTTGTAAGGTTTATTGAACTTGGTGATTAATTCCTACCCTAAAGCATGTCGGAACCCAATCAACAAATGTAATAGTTTTTTAAGTTTTTAATTATGAGATTGAATAGCTTACATCTTTAGGAATGATATCTCCTCTATACAATATTGATAATGACATATATTTCCTCTATCTTGGATCGCATTTCACCATCATATTTTCTGTTTCAAAAGCAAGTTTTGAAATTTCAACAGTCGAAAGTTACACATGGTCCATCTTGAAATGAGTTATTATAGGAGCATAAGAGGAAATCAAAAATTTGAAGATGGGATAGGGAACAAGGGAAGTTTGCAATTCTGATATATCAGTAAATAGTGCTCCATTAAATCTCATATCTACTGTTATTTATGAAATCACTTGAGCTATCATCCTATTCAAATTAGAATATTTTGGTGTTTCAATGTCAAGACTATTCTTACATATATCATAAATTGCTTAATTATCCATAGGTATACAAACATCAGCATGTTCTAATAAAGATTAAGTTGCAAAAATAGAATTATAGGGTTCAACCATAGAAACAGAAGTTTCTGGTGATGGATAAATATTTATACTCAATCTAGATTTTTTATTATAATCATCTGATAATTTTTCAAATAACAATGTACCTAAACCAGAACCTGTCCCTCCACCAACTGAATTGAACATCATAAATCCTTAAACTGAAGAACAATTATCAGCAAGCATTCTGATTCTTTCCAAACATATATCACCATAATCTTTGCCAATAGAATAATGACCTCTTGCAAAATTGTTAGCAGCACCCTCTTTCCCAGAAATAAATTAGTTTTGGCTAAACATAGCCTTAAATTTACTAGTTTTCACTTAATCTATTTAAGTAGATTCTAAATCCACAAATATAGATCTTGGAACTAGTTTCTAATGATCAGATTCATAAAAAAATGTTTTTAATGCATCATTTATTCCTATAACTTATGGATTGATCATCTATCCATCAGACTAAATCTAATGCTCTAGACAGAACAATTCCCAACATGCATTTCCAACCTATATTCCTCCCTATCCAACTTAAATTGTAATTATTTCTTTCATTTTAAAGTGTTATTTTATTTAAACTCTTTAAATAATTATTTTCCATCAGCATATATCCATTTTATAAGTCGAAAATTCTTTTAGAGGGGATGGTTATTTTATAAAAGAAATATTAAGAAAAACAAAGTATAATGTCATAAATTTTTATAAATTAAATTATTTAATTAAAATAAAAATAAAAAATGTTTTTGCAGAATTAAGTATTTTCATGACTCTTCTTAGAGTTGTTAAGTTTAAGTTTAAATAGCTGAACCCTTAATAATTTAAATTTATTAGAGAAATGAAAATATAATCTTCATTTATTAAATAAGAAAATTAAATGTTATTATCAGCTTTTAATTTAATAGAATCAAATGATTTTAGTTAAAATCAATAAAGATTTTAATTTATTTTGCAGTCCTACTTGTATTTAATTAAATTCATTGAAATAATGGTTAACCTATAAATTTGGCAAGGCGAATTAATCAAATGGTTAATAGTATTTATATTTCAAAATATTAATTAAATTTTAAGATGCTAAAGATTAATTGATTATGCAATTCACCATCCAATTGAAAAAACTGTTGAAATATAGTATTTGATGTTTTTTTTTGATAATATGTCAATCTGACTAATTATATTATATTAAATATATTAATAAATAATTCTTTTATTTATTGCATTCTAAAACTTATTTTTAAGATAAAAAGACTTGGAAAGTAATCATGATTGGATTCTTTGATATTTAAACTTATCATAAACTACTTTATAAGCAACTAGAAAACAAACTTTAAAATTTCAGTAATAAAAGTAATATATGAGCAGAAAGAGCACTTTGATTTTGAAAAGTGATTAAAGAATACACATCTAAAGGGTTAAAAGTTTTTGATAAAGAATAAAGATTGAAGTTAGTATGCATAAGAAAGAGCTTGTGCTCGGTATGATTCCAAAAATTCAATATTAACTAATTGATATTTCTAAATAAAAAATATTAATTTGCTTATTCAGAATCCATTAAGATATTAATATAAAAATTTCAATTTAAATATTAATATCTTTGATTGTGATTATAAAACAATCAGATAGGTTCTTCAGATTATTTATAGAATAATAAACAAAATGCGATATTTATCAATAATTTAATCCTTTGAAGTGATATTAGAGATATTATATTACTGCTGAAAATAAGAAGTGCAAATAAAAAAATAACTGAATTAAATTATTCCAATATCACTTATATTGAAAGAAGCAAAAATCAAGAAATTCCTTAAAATTCAAACATCTTAATTTTTTCTTTAATAATTTGATTAAAGAATATTAAATGATTATTAAAACTTTCAATTATTTGTTTTAATCTAAAAGTATTATCCTGAATCTGAAATCTACTTTCATAAATCATTGTTATTTAAGAACTATTTAATGTGATAAAACACATAAATTATTTTTAATTATAATGTCTTAAATCGAAAATGAATTATTCGAACAACTTGAATATTTTAAAATCCCAGGGCCAGGAGCATATAATCCTTAACTCTAAGGATCAAATTCAAGTTATAAGTATTTATTAAATAACACCTAAGATTTGGGAATGAATAAAAATTAAAAGTATTTTCATTTTAGTTACCTCCCGATCGTAATGGACCATCTTACTTTAATCCTAGATTATTTAGCAATAATTAAGCTTTTCGGTTAATATATTATTGATTAAATTAGTTTTTCCTCAAATTAAAAAGGGACCGATTATTATAATGAAATTCCTTCAGTAGGTTCTTATAAATTGCAAACAAGTTTTGATAATGGTATTGGTTATTCTTTTGGAAGGAAATTGCCTAAAGAATTTTTCTAATCTCAGCAAATAAATTAATCTTCAAAAGTGTTTGTTTACTATCCATAGTCAAATAAATATTAGATGGGAAAATGGTTTGAGTAAATAAAGAAATTTTATTGTTTATTTAGGAATGATTAGAATAATAAGAATAACTATGAAAAGTTGGAATTGCAAATGGAATACTATCCTATGGAAGAGTATATTGGAAAAAAAGATGGATTGTGGGTTGGATGTATAAAAAAGTATATGAATATGGATATAATTTAGTTAATAATGTGAATTATTTGTAAAAGGTTAATATGAGAATGGCATAAAAATTGGAGAATGGAAATATTTTTGGAAAAAAAATCTTTGTTCTCCTTTTGAATTGATGTAACATTTTTTGAATATTATTATTTAGTTATGGAGGATCATATATTGAATAAAATGGATAATGGGTTGAGGTGGATGAAGGTATTAATGAGGAAAATATTTTAAAGAAATTGAAAAACTTTTATTTATTGGATCATTAAGAAATTAAAACAGTTGCTTCAGAGTTTTTAAGAACTCCAGATCCATTTTAAGTTTCATCTGAATAAGAAGTCAAATAAGAAATTTTGTCCTTTTAAAATTCAATTTGGTATATGGATTTTCAGTTTGAAAATGAAGAATTCTTAAGGAAATGTTTTGAGAAGGATTTGAGTTACAGTTAAATATAAAATATTGTAACAAATGAAGATGAATTTAATGAAGTCAAAAATATAATATGGAATGATTATAAAATCATCAAAGAAACACATAAATAGTTTTCATTATAACATCCATCTGGAAATGTTTGGTCAATGCCATTTAGTATGATTTCAGCATTTGCATCTAAAACAAGATTGGTTGGCAATAAAACATATAAGATTGAAAATTTGAAACGACAATTTAAAGCAACTTGTATTGCTTCAATCGAAACTTAAAAAAAATATAGAAATCCTAAAATAGCATTATGCAGATATCAATTTATGGAATTTTTAGTGAGAGTTTCTATTGATAAATACTTGGAACAAAAATAAACAAATAATATAGTTGAATCTGTTTAAATGCTATTAGATCAATGCCTACCTATCATGTAAAAATTCAATACACAAGAATGGAGAGAGATGAGGTACTTTAATGAATACTGTGATGATTGTTTAAAATATTACAAACCTTTGTTAAATAATCTGTATAATAAATATTGTATAAAATCAGAATAAGAGCAATTTATGAGCCTTGATTAATTTCATAAAATTTGTAATAAAGCAAATAAGAATTACAATTATAAATAAATAAATATGGTATTAAAATTATTCATATTAGGCATTCACTTTATCAATAAAGTCTTATATAGATGAATTAGAAAATGATGGTATCATCTAAATGACTTTTATAGAATTTATGGAAGCATTAGCCAGATTTGCTGAAATAATTTCATTGCCTGCTTATAAAGATATGACTCATAAATAATGTAAATAGCAGCCATTGCATATCAAATTAGAAAGATTAATTAAACGTTTAGCATAAACTTGTGCATCTGAAGCATATAAATAACAATTTGGAAATCCTCAATAAAGTATATTTGATTTTCAACTTAATGATGATGATTGATTTTACATACATAATATTCAAAAAATAATATATTATTTCAAAAACAAATACATTTATTAGTAAATGTTAATGTTATATCACACAGAATTACTGAAAATATTGATGTAAGAGATATCTTTAAGGTTATATATTACTCAAGCATTTGAAATTGATTAAGCAACCAATTATATCTATTTTTAAAACAAGAAAATCACTCCCTTTGTAATCATCATCAATAGTATAGTATAGTTTTTTTTTCTATTTTCAAAATAAAAATAAAAAGTGTTTGAATATTAGACATTGATCATCCTTAAATGAATACTAAAATGAAAAATTAGCAAATTTGTTTTGTGTTTCTAAATAAAATCAATCCAGTAGAACTACTTAAAATTTAACAAAAAATTTTAGGGGATAAATCAGTAATGTAAACTAGTATTTTATATATATCTAATTGAAAGAGAAACTAACAAGTGATGGATCAAGCATTGCAATAAATTTTTTAGGATTTCTGATTAAAATGATATTTGAAAAAGTAATTAAAATATTGAACTTTATTGATGTTTTTTAAGACTATATTTAAGACTATATATACTAAAAGAAATTATTCTTACAAAAACTCATGTGTTCTAAAGAATTTGATGAAATATAGAGAAAATAAATATCTTGTTAAAAATTATAATACAAAAATTAGAAACTAGTATTAAAAATGAAAATTAAAAATATGATTTAGTTACTTTGCTTAAAGACTATTTAGTTATTTATATGCTTACTATCAGTATTTTCATTTTACAAAAATAAAAATTAACATAAAAATAGAAAGATTGGCTGAAAATTTATAATTTATAAGAAAAATTAAAGCCATAAAAGAAGTCATCAATTTTTGAAAATAAAAACCCATTTTTAAAAGATATTTATAATAGTTCAATTTTGATTAAACTAAAATTATTAGAAGATTAATATTGCATTAAATTATTCCTCTTATTATTAAAAAAATCATAAAATACTATATAGGAATCAAAATTAATAAATTAAAGAATTATTGATAGATTTAACACTCATTCGTTTTTGAAATAAATATTATCTATTTATGTCTAGGAAATAATTATTTAGATGTAATACTAAAAACTCTTATTAATTATTATTTATAGATGCAAATGTTTATGAAAATGCATAAAGTGTATAATTATATAGTATATAAATTTATAGGATTAATAACGGAAACACAAAAATGAGCAGAAGAAAAACTATGGAATTAATTATTTTTTCATTTAATCGTAAAGTAAAAGAACTGCATTTTATCTAATATGTGATGATAAGTAAATTAATTATTTTTTTATTTATATTTTTATATCAATAATTAGCAAGAAAAGTTAAATTGATATTTATTACAATTTTTTGTTTTAAATAGTAAAGATAAAAATAAATCCTTATTCTTTTATTTAATAAATACAACAATAGAACAGGATCTGAATTCATCTTTATAAATGTAACTGGATAAAAAAATAGATTTTTTAAATTAAGAAGTTTTGAATTGAACTTTTTTATTACTAATTTTGGTAATCAAAAATCCTTTATTTTTTTAGAATTTTCTTAAGCATTTATGCATCTAATAGTTTAATTATAAAATGAAATCTTTTTTATGCTCTATAAAAAAGACACTAGATCCTATTAAATTTTCTAATTAATAGTTTTTGTAAGAAAAAATAAATTAGAAGATTAATTTAATAATGATTTTTCTTGACTGTTATTTAATATCTTAAAAAAGCCTTAGAAGATAGAAAAAGAATATTAAAAGGAGAAATTACTTTAATGTTATTTGAAAAGTTGATTTTTTCCTAGATAAATATTTGATTAAATAATAATTCGATATAATTACAAATCATAAGGTTAGAGTAATAAATTGGATGCAAAATTTTAAATTTAAGGAATATTTTAAGATGATATATCAAATCTCAAAAATTTTGAAAATAGAAGGATGAAGTATTTTGAGAATTATTTTTCTTTAAATAAATTCGTGATGTGATTGATGGCTTCTGAATCATAGGCGATAACACAAGCATTATGAATCTGCATAAAATATTACAATCATAATTATTTGAATAATATAATAATTCATGAATGCATTAAATGCTGCATATATGTTTTGAGGTTTAATATTCCTGACAAATCCTGGAGCAATTTCATTATATTCTTGCCCCTCCACGTACATTAAATAAAAAACACTTCACTTTTTTTGAAGGAAATATCAAATTATTTTATTCTGATAAAAAATTAAAGTGAAAGAGACTAATTTTTTATTTGGAGTGTTATTCCCTTAAATAGGTTAAATAATAATAATTTACTTCGAAAAATAATTGATGTAATGAATATTGCAATAGATATGAGTAAAAATAATGAAGTCATTTAATAAACCTAATCATCATAATTTTAAAGTGTTAAAACTTTTCAAATTATAATTCATATAGTTGGGATTTAATAGAAATGCATTTCATTTTTGTTTAAATGATTACAATTTCTTTAAGTAATCAAATCTTTGACGATTATTTTTTATAGAAATCATAGTTTCTTAACTAAAAAGCTATTACCATAAGTATATTTTTATAATATATTTTAAAATATTTTCAATTATAAAATTATTCAAGTTATAAATTTATACATAGAACTAGGTGAAATATAGATAGAAAATCTTCGAATTAATTACTATCAGAGGAAATTTAATTACATCTCGGAAGAAATATTTACAACCTTAGTTGTTTCCTAATAGTATTATTATAGAATTAACCCTAAAATCAAATTCAGGAATTTCTTTTTTAAATCTTTTTCTAAAGGAATCTAAAGCTAGTATTGCAATATTATATTTTAATAATTTAGAACTAATCAAAGATACAATATATCACCAAGCATCTAAAAATTTTACTTATCCTTATTTATTAAGCAGAATTTAAATTAGCATAGATATTCAAATACACAAAAATAATTAGGAATAAAAAGATAGATAAGATTAGGTAGTTTCCTATTGAACAGATCTTTAAAGTAATGGAAAATAACTTTCATCTTTGTGTCAATACTAAATATTAAATGATAATTAAATTTTATTCAGATATTTAATGATAGGTAATTCTTTTAAATTTAGATCAACTAAGGCAGTAAATTTAATTTCTATCTTTATCAAAAATTGTCTTATTAAAACTTAGCTTAATCTTCTATTATATTAAATTTCATCAATAATAATAAAAAATATACTTAATTTAAGTAATTGTAAAATATTTAGATTAATATAGTGTTTTAGTTTATATAAGATTGTTTGATTTAATTATTTATATCAAATAGAGTTTGTAATTTGTATTATAAATACATTCTTAATGTATAAATAATATTTAATTGATTAATTATTTTATTTTTAATGAAAATCTTTACTTGTAAATATCTAGCACATGAAAATGAAGAAATTATTGGATTTTGTTTGAACCAAAATTGTTAAAATGCAACTCAATATTGTTATGAATGTTTAAATACATTTCATTCAGACCATTTCAATGATTGTATTAGATTTACTAAAATGATCCCATATATCAATGATTTCATGCAGATTTATAATAAATCAAGGAATTAGTTCAATGAAATCTATCAATAACTTCAGAATATTTTTGAATAGATTTTTAAAAAAATGGATTAAGAAATTATAATCTTAGAAAAAATTAGCAATTAACTTTTAAACAAAGACTATTTGGCTTTTAAATCATAAATAAACATAATCAAATTGTTTTATTCAAATGAAAAAGACAAATACGTATGTATCTTTTTTAAATTATTATAATAGAATAACAAATATCATAATTAAATATTATTCTTGAAACTATAAAAACTATGGTACCAGATTAAATTAAATCGGAACATTAATTTAATTATGATTATTAAAATAATATTAAAATTGAAGAAATTAATTAGGAGATTAATGATAATATGCAGTAGAATAATTAAGATCCTTAAATAATGATAGATAAAGGTAAAATAAATTTCTTCTTATTTTAGGATAGTAATTAAGTAAATTACAAAAGTACGAAGAAGCAATTGAATGTTTTGACAAAGCTATATTAATGGATAGTAAATTGTTATCTCCATATTTGAATAAGGGTAATTAAATTACTATTTTTATTTAGGTCAAACATTAAAACGTTTAAAGAAGTATTAAGAAGCAATCGAATGTTATGACAAAGCTATTTAAATAAATCCTAAATCTTCGCCTGCTTGGAATAATAAGGGTAATTGGTTCTTATTGTCTTTAGGTTAAGTATTATCCTATTTAACAAAATATAAAGAAGCATTATAGTGTTACGAAAAAGCAATTGGTTGAATAAGGGTAATTAATTGTGATCAATTATAATTTAGGAAATTCATTAAAACGCTTAAATAAGTATGAAGATGCAATAGAATGTTTTGACAAAGTTATTTCAATAAATCCTAAAAATGAATCTGCTTGGAATAGTAAGGGTAAATTACTTTATAATTCAGGTTTATTACTACACAAATTAAAGAACTTCAAAGATGCCATCTAAAGTTATGATATGTCTCTTTCCATTCGCATTTAACCTTCAATATTAAAACAAAAAGGTAAACGATTTTTAATCTAATTTAAATATAGCTGATACACTATTTGAATTAGGGGAAAAATAATTAGCTGAATAATTTTATATGGCTGCGTTGGAAAATGGTACAGATGATACAGATTAAATATAGAAATAATAAGTACAGTTATGAAATATCATCATAAATCAAATATTTTATATTTTTCATTAAACATTATATCATCTCTATGTTGCATGAAAATTATAATAAATAGACAAACAATTGGAAACTAAATGGAAAGTTGCTTATCTCTTGGTACTTACTATTTTTATAGACCTAAATTCATAATAGAGATTCCTTTTAAAATTGATTTACAAACTAAAGCATATATAGTTCTATCATTTGATTTTCATTAATTATGTCTTCTATAATTCATATAATAATAATTACTGATTTATCTAATTCTTCTCTGTTTATCTACGAAATGAGTTTATTTCCTTCAACTTATTAATTTTATGATTTTTATTGAGTATCAATGACTAAAGAATATGATTGATTACTTATAAATTGTTAATTTCTTTATAAAATAGTATCATAGAATTGAGTATAATCATCTAATTTATCAAATTTTATAGGAATCTCACTATTAAAGTATACTTTATTATTTGATTATAATATTTCTACTTGTAATTTAAACTTATCAATTTTAGGTTTTGACTCTATTTCTTCCTTTTAATCAATATTTGTTAATATTTAGTCAATAAAATTTTCAACAATAGCTTTGAATTCTTTTATTAAACTTAATTTTGTTTTAATTGATTCTATTTTTCCTAGATTTCAAGCCTCAGACTGAATGCAAATCAAAGTTATTTGAATCTCTCATACAAGCAAGAAACCAATCTTTTTAACTTAACAAGGTCATTTATTATTGCTTATTTTTTGATGCTTAGTTGTTAACCATTTCTTTAACATATTTCAATTTTATGAAATTTATATATAAGTCTTCAAAAAAATCAACCTTATTCTTTTATGACGATATATAAGTTTAGTTGCCTTCATTTTAGATGATATTAATAATTAATCTTTCTTTCTTAAAAGTCATCATATTAAATTAAAAATAATCTCCAATTCTATTATTCAAATGATAGCAACTTACTTCATAAATTTTTTTTTATTTATAAATAATTTATTATAATTTATTCAATATTCCCAATAATTTTCTGAAAATTCAATCCAATTTCCTTACTTTCCTCCGAATACATTAAACCAACCTCCACCTAAATAAAATAATGCCATTATTTAATTTTATATCCTTTAATTCCATATTTTCCTTTGAATTTTAAGTATTTCATTTACACTATATTAAGTAAAACTTCTTCATTTTTCGATCCATCTATTTTTTTAATCTAGTGCTCTTTATGTTATAGGTTGAAAGTTTGTTTTGACAAATTTATTTCTGACACTTTATAATCCCTCCAAGATACGATTATTTTTTCAGTTAATTCAGTACTTGGTATATAAAAAATTTTTTGTAAACTATAAGATTGAATTAATTAGATAAGTTGTCTTATACCAATCTTACATAAATTTTTCAAATATTATTCCTTTTTTGGAAATTTGCGAAGCATCCTGCAACCAATTTTTTTGAAATCGTTTTTTTAACATCTCAAACTAAAAAGGATTAAAGTAGTTTCTTCTTAATATAAATCATGTTAACTTAAGACACTTTTCAAAGTAGTTTTAGATTCACTTAATCTAAATTAGTGATCTATGTTTAATTATTTGAACATTTCAATTATTTTTTAACCAAAATCATCAATCAGAATAATCAAATCTTCAGTTATTTTACCATATCTAATACATTTTTGATTAATTTTGCCTTTGTAAATTCCTCAAATAAAGTTTGTTGGACACTCATGACAAAATTTATATTGAGTTTTCATGAAAAAAATTTGTATAATTTTTATCACAAGATAATAAATTTTATTCGTAATAAATACAAAATTAGTTTAAAATGAAAATGCCCTGATATAGTAAACCGTAAAAATATTCAGCCCAAAATTTATGTTTCTGTTTCAATTTAAGTCATTTTAAAAAAATCAAAAATAACTTATGAGAAAACGATTTATTATCATTTTAATTGTTAATTTTCTTAATAGTCAAATTTGAAATTAGTAATACTAAAATCTAAATCAATAATTATTTATAATTCTTCAGCTCTACTAGTTTGTTTTATCATATCTCCTTTCCGTAATTTGAAAATCCCATTAATATGGAAAAATTCACTCAAATGATTGATCATAAATGTTAAATCATCTTATTTGATATTTTCTTGTCAACTTAAATCATGTAATTTTATGAATTCATTTACAATAATGATTATATAAAATTAAATAATATTCAATCAAATATCCAAACTTTTCAAAAATCATATATTTAATCTTCAATTTTTAAATGATTGGTTTCTTTTTCTTTTAAGAATCAAAATTTGAAATTTATTATAATTTCCCTACTTCCAAATTAACTACTTAATTTAAATTATGATTTTGGCTTCTTTAGCCTATATTCAAATTAAATTTTTTAGAAGGAATTTTATAATCGCATAGGAAAGTAGTAGCTTTTTCCATTAAATTTTATTTTAAACATAAGAACAGTATATGCATAAGTAATAGGAATCATTTGATGAATAATAGTATACTGTTTCAAAAAATTTGAGCGCTCTTTATGAGAATTGTTGATAGATTTTTGAATAAATATTCATTCTAAATAATAATCAAATTTTAAGTATTATGCTGAATTAAAATTTCTAATATTTAATCTTTGCAATTTCTGTTTAAATTTAATTACTATCGTGCCTCTAAATAGTATGATTTTTAAGAAATAGGGAAAATTAGATTATAATATTAATGGGTATATTAGAGTAAAATTATAAAAAAATATTATTTAACTCGATATTAATGAATTCTTTTTATATTATTAGTAAATATTAAGTACAGTATTTGGAAGAATGAATTTATTGTTTTGATGATATATAAATTATAAAATGAATATTAAGTAAAAAATAAGAGATTATATTTCTAATACTATTGACTTCTATTAGATAAATAAAAGATATATTTGATGGTAAAATTCTTTGAATATATCAATTTTTGAATATTTTTCATAAAGAGAAAATAGAATCGTTAAGAAGAAAATCTATAAAATTATTGTCCTTGTTCAAATAAATTAAGAAACTTTAAATTGACTTGTTCAAATAAATTATGAAGTTCTAAATTGGTTGAATATTAAAATAATCATATTATACAAATTGAAATTTGGATTTTATACGGAAAGGAGAGAAACTTATTTTTGGAAGTTTAATAATAAAAATAGTAAACAAGAAGAAAATTGGTAGAATCTATCAAAGGCTATTGGAGGTAATTAAGTAAAAATGATTTAGTTTAGCATTGTTAAATCTATTTTGTTGAATTATTAATATTGTTTAAGATATAGTAGGTTGATTTATCAATAGGCTAGCAAAATAATGTACCAAACAACTTAAATTTATCTTTAAGTCTAAACCATTTATTCATCTAATTTTTTAACCTTTTCTTTTTTAATAATAATTTCAGTCTTATTATTTGTGATAGCTAAAATTTCCAACTGAATTAACCAAATATTCAATATAATTCTAAAAATAAGGCCTGTTTAAGTAAAAAATTCTCAAAATAAAAATAAAATAATTTAATAGAGTTTATAATTAATGATCATTAAGGTTGAACAAATTGAAATTAAAAAACGAGAAAAAATTGGTGTTGGAGGAAATGGCTAAGTTTATCTAGGAGAAACAACAGACGGCAATTTTGTAGCGATAAAAGAGCAAATGAAAATAAGTGATCACGAATATAAGATCTTGTAGGCTCTCAAAGGAAAAAAATGTGAACATATAATTTACGTGCATGCTTTTGAAGAGTAAAAAAACGGAATTTTCACAATTATGGAACTTGCAAAAAGTTTTGATATAAAGAATATGTCTGATAAGAGGGGAATTTGCTTGTAAGTAAATAACTTTCAATATTTTTTTAGATGGCAAAAGGAGTTTCTGAATTGCACTAATTAGGATTTTTTCATAGAGATTTAAAACCTGATAATTTTGTAATCGGCAAAGATGATAAAATCAAATTAATCGATTTTGGAACCACAAAATAAATTGCAGAAGAAATTCATACAAATTCTACTGGAACGTATATATATATGGCCCCAGAAATGATTATCACCAATGCTTATGATTCATCCGTTGACATTTGGTCTTTGGGTGTGATCTTTTATGAGGTTATTACTAATGAAAAATTTTTTGGTAAATATGATACAGATTATTTAACATATAGAGCGATAACCTAAATAAGTCAATAACAAATAAATAATAAAATAAGAGAAAAATTAGTAAATTAATAGTTAAATACATTATTATAAAAAATGATTGTTCAATATTTGGATGGAGAAGAAAAAATTATATAATAAAAAAAAAGAATTGGAATAGATGAAGTAATTAATGAACTAGAAAAATAAAAATATTTTAAATAACATTAATAACAAATGGAAGATTTGTATGAGATTTTAGCTTCCTTCAAACCAATTGATAGAAGAACATTCAATATGATATTTGAAGCATTAATGGATATATAACATAAAGAAAATCTAATAAACTAAATATCAAAAGATGATAGGATTATTTAATTTTTAAAATCTATAGTTAGCCTTACAGCTTTAAATAATAAATTCATAGAATTAGGATCTAAATCACTCAATTTATTAGTCGAGATAAAGGTTGATCTGACAAACTAAAGCTTAGAAAACATTAAGATAAAGAATACATCTTTAATCGGAGCTAATTTTGTCAGATGTAATTTGAGTGGATCAGAATTTGATAATGTAGATATAAGCGGGATGAATTTGAATGAAGCTTAATTATTTAACTGTAGATGGAAAAACATAAAAATAGATGAATAACATAAATTGGATGGTCATAGTGGAAATGTAAGTTCAGTCTGCTTTTCTCCTGATGGTACTAAATTAGCATCTGGGAGTTGGGATAATACTATTCGATTGTAAGATGTTAAGACAGGAAAATAAAAAGTCATATTCCATGGTAATACTAGTTATGTCCTATCAGTATGCTTTTCTCCTGATGGTTCTACATTAGCATCTGGTGGCACGAATAACTCTATTAACTTTTGGAATATTTAGACAGGAAATTAAAAGGCACAACTAAATGGTCATAATGGTTTGGTCTATTCAGTGTGCTTTTCCCCTAATGGTTAAACATTAGCATCTGGTAGTGGAGATAATTCAATTCGGCTATGGGATGTTAAGACAGGATAATAAAAGGCATAATTAAATGGTCATTCTAAAGATGTTTTATCAGTATGCTTTTCCCCTAATGGTACTAAATTAGCATCTGGTAGTAAAGATTATTCAATTATGTTATGGGATGTTAAGGAAAGTGTATCTTTATATTAGGTATTTGTACTATATATTCTGATATGGGCTTTTATTTATTCACACTTCATAATAGTTATGTTAACTGTAGTATTCTTTATCTGGTTAAATCAGAAGATGAAAAAATCAATATTGTAAGGTCATAGTGGAAATGTCAATTCAGTATGCTTCTCTCCTGACGGTACTATATTAGCATCGTGTAGTGATGATAAATCCATCAGGTTATGGAATGTTTAGACAGGATAATAAAATGCATTATTAAATGGTCATAGTGATTATGTAAGATCAGTGTGCTTTTCCCCTGACGGTACAACGTTAGCATCTAGTAGTGATGATAATTCAATCAGGTTATGGGATGTTAGGACAGGATAATAAAAAGCAGAAATAAATGGTCATAGTGATTATGTCAGATCAGTATGCTTTTCTCCTGACGGCTCTTCATTAGCATCTAGTAGTGATGATAATTCCATCAGGTTATGGGATGTTCGCCTTTCAAATAGCAGTATTTATTTTTATGACTTAGTCTCTTCTAATATTAATCTTCTTCTCATATCCCAATAGCCAATATTTTAAGCTTAAGGTGCTTTAATTCTTAAAGGATAATTTGAAAATAATTAAGGTGTAGATTTATTTTCATTTTTACAATCTAAAGGGAGTATTATTTTGGAAGACGAAATTTAAAATTAAAATTGATAATTATCAAGAACATTAGATATATATATATTTAAACTGTATATTTCCTTTTCTTTTAATTGATTTTTTTTCATTTGCACTCTTAAGTTTAATACTTTATTATTGGTTTATTTTAATTTAAATTTTTTGTCATTTTTCTATACTTTTTTCTCACAAGAATATTTTTAGCTAAAGATTCATGAATATTTGACCTCCTTGGAAATTGGTATCAATATATGCGAATATGATTAATATTGTATTCGATTCATAAATTATAAAGTTTAGAATTATTATTAATTTATAAATGTATAATTTTATTCTTAAAGAACTTGTTGAGCTTTTATGAAATTATTAAAATAAATAAATTAGAAAATACTTTTTTTATTAAAATATTAATATTGCTTTTAAATGATGGTATTCATAATAAAGTTGTATCATTCAAATTTTATTTGAATTTTATTCATATAATTCAAAATCTGGAGAGAGTAAGTTTTGAGATTAAATCAGATTCATTAAACATTGAGAAATGTTTTTACTGCAAAATAGAAGAGTAAAAGAGTAAGGCAAAAGCAATAGATCTGATAATAAAAAATATAAAATTATGTTCTAAGACTAATTTATCACTTGCCACATTATTATAAAATCAAAATTTTAATTGATCAATCAAGATTAGATTTATATTCGATAATTTATAAAAATATGAATTTTAAACTTTTGTTTATTTATTATGAACAAATGCAAGTAAAAATATTTATATAAAAATAAATCTAGGAACTATGTTAAAATTGATTCAATTTTTGATAATAAGTAAATGATAATTAATCATATTGATTATTTAGAAGATATTTGTTATTAAGATAAAATTATTATTCTTAACATTGAAAGGTATCAATTCTTTTATTTTTTTTCGATCAACCTTTTAGAAAACTTTCATTACAATTTTACATTTTTATAGTTGATAAGAAATACTTTATCATCACAATTTTTAATTAAATCAATAATTATAAAAACTTCTCCACTCCTCATAAAATATCTATTTTAATCTTTAAATTTTATTCTAGATATTAATTCTGACTAAAATCATTTATAATTCAATTCAGAGAAGGAATCCTATATTGATTTTTATCTAATTTTCCGAATCGTAATTATTCAAAAATTCTCATCTCTTTGGAATTATTTTCAATATTTTTACATCAATCATCAATTGTTTATTCCTCTAATCCATTTCTTCAAGCTAACCTTCATTTTATAAATTTAATACCACAATTGCAATCTTTAATCGCTCTATCAATTCAATATCTTAAGTCTTTTTTATAAAAACTCTTTAGAATGATATGATAAAACTATTTCTTTCTTATTAATACTGCGTATAAAAATCTTCCAAATATTTATTACTTCTGATAGTTTTTTAAATCTTATAAATGGAATTAAAATTTAAGTCTTTTATTAAGAGCATTTAGATCATAAACTCTATATTATCGAAACAGTTTATTTATATTCAATAAAACTTAGTTAGTAGATATTAGTTATACTTTTAGATATTGCTTTAAATTATCAATCTTTATCAAGTAATCATAATAGTTTATTGATTTAGAATTAAACTATTTGGATTCATTAATTATTTTTGTGAATCTAAGGAATAATGTAGAACAATTATTAAAAATCAACTGATTTCGGCTATATCGTCTCATTTAATTATATGTTAAATGCCTAGTTATCAAGTATGTTCACAGTTTAAGTCCAATGTTCCATTAAAAATTGAATAGTATTCTTAAAATCACCATTAAAAATAATCTATGTAAATCAATAAAGTATCAATTAATTTATTAATAGTTTTAAATTATTATTATATAGTATTTTTAAACTTTTTTAATCAATTAATTATGAAACTATGGTTCCTCATCCATATTATAGTATTTAGTGATGATATGTTATTTGAAATATTGATTTATTCAATCCTACAATATTTGTTAAATTCACCTAAGCCTATAATTTTATTGAGTTTTAGTAACTATAACCTAAATTATTAATTTATGTATTCTGCAAAAATTATTTCATATTCGAAAATATATACTATTTTCATGGCACCTATGTTCTTACATAAGTGAATGTCTTTTAATTAATCGATTCCTAAATTAAATATTGTTGAATGATTATCTTTGGTTTCTCTAATTGATTCGAATTACCTATCATAAAGTCTCCTACACTTCAACAAAACTTAAATTTTTTAATTAATTCTTTGTGGCTCTAGATTCTTAATATAATTTGAATAAATTAATTAAGTTTCTTTCAGATATTTTAATCATGAACATAATATACTTATATATTCCACAATTAATCTCTTCACCCTACTCTACTTTTTTATAATAAACATCAAAATCCGCTCTTTAAATAAAATATTGTATCCCAATATTGAGTAAAATAACTAATAAGGTTAATGAACTATATGACTATAAAAAGATGTGAAATATACACCTCATATTACAAAAGTGTTAAAAATATTGGCAAAAATAAGATTTTTAATCATTATTTATATTTCTGTAATTCTATAATTAATATCATTTATCATGAATGCAGCTTCTCAAATATAAAATGAATTTGTTTTTATAGAGCGAAAATTGTACGAAAATCTTAAATAATTTGATTGTTAAGGTGTTCAATCAATTACTTTTATTGGAAATTAGACTCGAAATAAAAATGAAAATTTTATCATAAAATTATACAAAGAAATATCTGATGAGCAAATAGAAGTTCTTTAATAAATCAAAAAATACTAAAATCAAAAAATACCTAAATGCCAACATATGATTAAAATAATTGGAATACAAAATTTTCTAAATAGTAATACAGATAGAAAGCTTTATGTAGTTATGGAAAAAGGTAAAGATAATACCCAAAACTTGATTAAATCTAACATTTCTTTTAGTTTATTTTAGAAATTTAAGATATTTGAATAAGTAAAATAAAATCTATTTTAAGATGGTAAGAGGAGAGATGGAATTACATAGCTTAGGCTATTTTCAAATAAATTTGAAACCAGAAAGTTTTGTATATTTTGAAACTTAAACTCAAAATTATTAGGTCAAGTTAATAGATTTTGGTTTAACAAAACACGATTCCACATATTTTGAAACAAAATAAATTGAAACTTTTAATTACTTGGCACCTGAAGTTATATAAGGAAACCAATTATATAATAAAACCGTTAATATTTGGAGTCTTGGAATTATACTATATGAACTACTTGTATCAGAAGATTTTTTTTTAGGTTTTTATTTATTGAATTTTTAGCTAAGAACAAGTAAGAAATGAAAGAGTAAATGAAGGATTTAACTTAAGATTGGATCAATAAGAATATAAATAAAGCTAATTGTTTAGGATAAACAGAAAAGGATCTAATCAACTCAATGTTATAAATAGAAAGTAAAAAAAGAATTTAATTGGAAATTTTATTATAGAAAATTAATTAGTATTTAACAAACATCTAGGAATACGAAAAACGATTTGTTAAGCAATTATCAGTTATTAAAACTACAAATTAATAGTTTATTTAAAACCTAATGGAAAAGTTAAATAAAATAAATTAAATTGAAACAGCAGAATAAAAAAAAAAATAATTGGTTATTTGTATTAATAAAGAGTTAAAGAAATATTAAGAAATACTGAATGAAAATGGATAAAGACTATAGTAGATATAATAAGCAAAGATGAAAGATGAATTTATAAAACTTGAGTAAGAAATTTTTCAAGTTAATCAATAATAATAATTATAAGAATATAATCTCATAATGGAAAAAATTACAAAAGAATTAAGATTAGTTGAATAGTTGGTAAAAAATAAAGAAATCGAAAATTAGTAAGAATTGAAAAAAGAAAAAGAATAATTTAAAAATTTTCTTGAGATTATTCGAAACTAATTTAGGTTATAATCTAATTAGATTTAAACACTCTCAGAACAATATAACTTATATTAAAGGGATTAAAAATAAATTAATGAACAAGAGAAATATTTAAATGTCAGAAAATAACATTAAAAAATGGAAGAAGATATCAAAGAACTAGAATAATCGGAAGAGAATATAATGGTATAATGTGACGAACAAATGATTACTATTTATTAATAATTTAATACAAAGCTTAAAGAAATATAGCAAGCTTAAAATGGACTCAAGATTTTGATTGAAGAGGCAAGTAAATCTATTCTATAATTTAATGCAAAAATTTTTGAAGAAAATAGCAATTAAATTGATAATTTAAATGATAAATTAACTGATTACTTGGATAAATTTTAGTATTAATCTAAAAATTAAAAATATTCAAACAAAATAGTTTAAATAATGAATCAGATAAAATTTGGTTTAGAATAGTTAAATTCTTTAAAAAAATAAATAAATTAATGTACATAGACATCTTATTAATAATTTAATAAAAATTACTATGAATTTGAGGAATTATTAAGATATTTTAAAAAATAATATAATTAATTGCATGAATAAATTTATAATGATGAATTAATTGAATAAATAAATTTAGAAAGAATTAAAAAAATAAAGATGACCCAAAACTAATTGGATTAAATTAAGAAGAAAATGAATCAATTAAAGGATTAAATTAAATATTTGTTCAATAATAAATATTTGAATTATGAATAAATTTATAATTTAATAAATAATAAATTGATTAAGATAGATTAGAATATCATTGAATGTTAAAAGAAATTTGAGAATTTCATTGAATTAAATCTATTAAATTCTTATGAAATTATGAAGAATTAAATTAAATTATTGTAGGAAGTATAAAGAAAATTAGATAGAGATGTTAATGAAATTGAATATAATATAGACTAATTTAAGCTGATGATTTCAAAAATAGAAACTGAAAACAAAAGTGAAGAAGAAGAAGAAATTTTTAATTTAAATAATCAATTATAATAAACTTACAGAAAATTTTCAAAAGCTCTAAATTCAATTCATTTTTAATTTGAAAGTATTGAATTATATAAATAAATGAATGAATATAAAGGCAACTTATAAGTTGAATTGAAATAAGAAATATACACCTTAGAAGAATATTTAGAGGTTTAAAACATAAATACGAATTTATTCTAAATTGAAAAGCAAATTAGAGATATTAAAAATAATAAATAAAAATAATACATTGCGAAATTGATCTAAAAATAAAAATAGACTAATCAATAAAATGGTTATAGATTAAAAAATGTATTCAATAGAGTGTGCTAAACATAGTAAGAATTAAATTTTTGCTTTATGGATAATAATTTAATTAAGAATTATGAAGATTTAAAAATGTAAGAGAGTAGGTTATCAATAGAATTAAATTTAATAAATTAAAAGACTTATGGTAAATAATTAAGCTCTTAAGAGTAAAAAAAATTAAAAGAATAAATTCTTTAGGTATAATCTAACATATCTGATTTAATAAATAAAATTCCTAAGAAATATAAGATATAAGAGTTTAACAAAGCATACTTATAGAATTTAGAATCATATGAAAAGTGTTTGGCTTTAGTTAATTATATAAAGTAATATCACTTAACAAGATATTATGAAAGATTAAAATAAAAAAAATTTAAAAAACAGAACGAATAATAGATTTAAAAAGAAAGTAACTTCGACAAGTCATTCTAATCTTTATTAAATGCAGATTAGGAAAAATACGCCATAAATGAGAAGGAAGCTTAAGATAAATTGTAGAAATATGAGAATATTGTAAATAACATTTACAATATGATGACAAAAGAAACAATGGAAAAAGATAAATAATAAATGGAGAAACAGCTTATAGAAATAGAAAGTCAGATAAAATAGCAAAATTTAGCATTATTAGAATCTAATTTTAATGATCAATCAGTTATAGAAGATATTATTTATTACAGAAAAATTTATAAAATAAATGAGTTCGCGTAAAAATTAATTTTAAATAAATTATTATTTATGCATCAATATTGATTAATATTATCAAAATTTTATAAAATATTCTTATAAGGTATCATTCCTATTCTAATTATATAATTATTTTTTTGATCAATAAAAAAAGTAAAATTCAAAGATTGTCTTCCTAAAAAACCATATTCTGTTTTTGTGACATTAACTGTGAAATTAAGTTTTGAAGAATGATTAAATAATCTAATTAATAGAAATTTTATATTTAGAAGAGACTAATTTAATTAATGTTATGTTAATATTTTTGATGTAGAATTGTATTAAAAAAGAATTAAACTTAATTCAAACTTGAATTTTATTTTGTCCTGAAACCATTGAAATATAATCTGTTGTAAATCATAATTAAATTATAGTGCTTAACAACCAGGTTTAAAATGAATAATATCTAAATGTATAGAAACTGAAGGTTTATGTTGCTAACAACCTTTTAAATAGTTTGATATCATTCTTAGAGATAAATTTAAACTTCCATATTAGTTAAAATTATTTTTCAAAAAATTCTTATAAAGCTTTGAAATTACAAACTAAATTAATTAATTAATTTAATCTTCCTAGTTTAAAATTTTTTTTTTAATTTCCCCATTTTATTAAAGATCTTTCAATCAAGTTAGTATTATTTTCGTTCATTTAGAATAATTTCAATTTGAATTAAAATTGCAGCTAACAGCCCATTACTTGATTTCCATAAGTTGCTATTTGTTCTAATAATGATATTTTTTTTTTATTTTATTATTTAATATGAATTTAGTTAATCAACCAAAAAAAACTATTCAGATTATTCTATTAATTATCTCAGGAATTTTATAGGTTAAAAGTTTGAAGATTAGTTATTATTAAATTTCAACTATTTCGAGATTAATCATCCATGTTTTATTAAATCTGTATTTTTCATGAAATTCTCAATGGATATTTTCTTAAAAAATAAAATATATTTTTATAGATGAAGGATAATATACTATTAGACTGTTTTTTAGATAAGTAATTCTAAATTATATCTATCTTTCTCTTTTACTTTAATTTGTTTCATTGTCTCTACAAAAATATCAATTTTTTTTGAAATAAACTCTCACCTTGCTTTCCTAAAAATAATTTGATGTTTAATCAGATTTATTTAATGATTTAATTTAAAAAAAAACAGTTATTAGTTGATTATCACAATTAATTTTAAGGTTTCTAAAAATTATTAGAAGTTCAAAAATCATGATAATATTATTTATTATTTATTGATTCATTTTGAAAATAAATATTTTCATATATTTGTTTTATAATTCTCAAATTACAATTACTATTGTTTATGTAATGAATAATAATTTTGATTTTAGTACTAAAAATTTAAACTCCATAATTAATTGACATAGATTTTAGATAGGAAAAAGTATAAATAATTATTCTAACAAGTACTTTTGTTTTTATAACATTCTGGATTCAAATTTCAATTAAACTGTGGTTATTGTGTTTTAAAAATATACAGACGTTTCAACTTTCTTCTCGGCATTAGTTATTTATCAATTAAATTTGTTTTTTCTTTTTCAATTATTTTATTTTGCTTTTATTATTCTTTTCTTATTTCATTCTATTTCTTGTAAGAATTAGCTTAGATTTTTTATCTCTTAAAATATCTTCCTTTCTTTGAACTTGCAAAGGATGTAATATACTCCTTAAATGATACTAGAAATCAAATTAAGATAGTAATGAAATACAATTTGGAATTGAACTTTTGAATAAAGAATGATTGGGTTGTAGCGATTACAATCCATTAATCATCAAATTTTTATCTGAAATGTGAAATTGGCCTAATCCCCTGTGTCTTGCCAAATCTATATTCCTTAAAATGACGCCCATAATAATTATGAACTTGCCTTTTCTAAAAGCTATCCTATTTTGACCTTTGATTGCTTAATTCTAAAGAATTTCTTTGTCAAGACATTCAAAAAAATAGTCTGATTTTTTTATAGTGTTGGTCCTTTTTGGAATATAAATTCCTATAAAATGATCCAAAAATATGCCAAATCCATGAAATTTATCAGCATTAGCTTTCATAAAGGGTTACAGACATTTTTACTTTAAATTAAAGTCATTTGACTTTTTTTTTTAATTCAGAATAATACCACAAATTCAGGTTAATTACTTTAACAATTAATGGAAGTTTAAATTTTAATTGCATAAATAATTTTGATTATGAAATTCAAAAAATAAAATTATTAATGTTTAAAGGGATTGTAAATAAATATATTATCAATATATTATGTAGATAGAATAAAAAATCTATTAAATGAAAAAAATTTCTTAAAATAACACAGGAGAGTTTTATTAAGCCATGTTGTAATCATGAATGCTTGGATTACCATATTTATTCCTAATTAAAAACTTTAAAAATCATACTTAAAGTACACTTAATCTCTAGAATATGTTAAATATTACTTTAAAGCCTATTGGATTAAATATAAGTTAATGAAATTATTAAAAATCAAAATAAAATAAAAGTAAAATAATAAATACTCGATTTAAGAATAACATTTAACTTGTTTAAATTTATATATAATGATTTTCTTTCTTTTACATTTAATTTGTAATGTCTTTCTTTTAAGTTTAAGAACATTAATTAAAGGACTTGGATATAGATACAAGATTATAATTGATAGCTTAAGTTAAACAAAGAATTAATAATATCAGAGCAGTTTGGGCAGATCTTTTACTGTTTTAATCGAAAAAAAGATAGCGATAACTCAAAAATATAACTAAGAATTTTCTGAAAAGATTTAATATCATAATTCAATAAACAGTTTGGTTTGAGCAATAGTTTATTTATCTTAGATAACGCATCAGTATAAAAAGAATTTTCAATTGAGAAAGAGGTCCTAAGTTATGTTATTCATCAATTTAATCCTATTGAGAAAGTTTGAAGATAATTGAAAACTCACCTAGCTAAATAGGATTGCATAACAAACCTGAAACTCAACTTGCAGCATTTAAAAAGTTAAGGACAACCATCTGTTAAGCTATTGCAATTTTTTGAATCCAAAAGTCTATAAATGTTTAGAAAAAAATGAATTATGAGTTATTAAATGATATATAGGGATTATAATTATATCATGATAGCTCAATTAATTATTAAATTAAATGAATAAGAGTTACTTCAAATTTAATCAACTCATCTTAATAATTCAGTAATACAAAATTGGAATTAAGTCTAAATAGTTTGAACTAAAAAGTTAATATTAGAGTTTCTCTTTTGATAATATTAAGAATGTACCCTAAAAACTTGCTTAAAATAATAATAACACTGAGAAAAACTCAAATTTGAGACATTTATTATTAGAAAGGAAGCAGCTGAATCTTGAAAGAATTTAAAGAGAAATAAAGATCAAATTTTTTAAAATGATTATATAAACTATTACCTTTTATTAAATCGCTTAAATATTTAATTAATAAATATCCAAAAACTAAATCGAGTCACAATCCTATTTTTCTCGTCTTATGAAATAATATCTAGATGTAATTTATTAATGTAGGATGTAAAAGCATAATAGTAATAGATAATTAGTTAATGGTTAGAGATTCATCTGTCTATTTATATAAAGATGTATTTGGATTATCGACTAATACAGTAATCCTAATACAAAGTGAATACGAACTATTCAATTCAATTTAAGGATTCTATCAATCAGTCATGTTAGATATCAAAATACAATAACAAAAAATAATTTTGAAGAAGTACAACATCAGTTTTATTTCTTAGAAACTATCATCTTAATTTACTCTGGCTGATTAGAATGAAATATTTGACACTATTTGTTTGAGAGGAGATTTGAACAGCAAAATCTTTTTATTGAGAAATTGTTAGAATAGGATGAGAAACTGTAGATTATTGAAAATAATAAGTAGTTTAAGTTTAAGATGCTAGTTGATTAGATTCTACTCAACCTTAGAGTTGTTTTAATTGGATAATAAATGAATTTGAAAAGCAGTAACTTTGCTCTATTTTAAACAATCGAAATAATATAAGGAATAAGGTATATGATTGTATTTCAAGTGTCATTAAACAAGATCAAAATGCTCTAATTTCATTAAGGATCATTCAATCAATCTAGAAAGCATTCTGAGTAAATTAAAGGGTTGTTAATTTGAATCCATATTCTATTTACCTTTTGCATAATGCTTTAATTCTTTAAAGTATTTGAGAAAAAATAGGAACTCTAAATTATTGGAGAATAAACTAAACAATCAATATTAGAGTATTTATATAAGAATTATTAATATTCATGTGGAATTTCCTTGTTCTTTTTAGTTCTAATATTTTTTGCCTTTCTAGTATACTATTATTAATTAAACCCTGGATTTCGTTTAATTGGATTGACAACATAAATTTTCTAGAATGTTATGGAACCAAATTCAAACCTCATTTTATGTGAAATTTTATAAAGGTAGAAGTATTTATTATATTAATCAAGAATAGTCCATTTTTTAATTTTGAAAAAGAGGACTTGCAGTTGGCCATAATTAGTTATATTCTTTAAGAGATCCTAATTAAACTATACTATAAGATACAAAAAATTATATTAATAATTTTGAAATATAAATATTGTTAAAACAAGTATATGATCTAATTATTCAATGCATGTGAAAATTAAACTAAATCTTCTATGAGAATACTAAATTTAACAAGAAAAAGAGAGGAAAAAAGGAGTAACGACATTTATTTTATAATGAATTTGCAAAATTTACAAAACTTTTTAGTACTTTATTATATCAATAAATATTAAATTGAATGAATACAAAAATTAAGATTGTAATGCTTGGAGAGGGTGAGTGATTTTGATTTAATCTTTCGGAAGAATAGACATGACTTGTTTAACTTTGAGATATTGTTAAGATCATTTTAATGAGAATTAAGAATCATCAATCGATGACACATATTTTGATAAAGTTGTAGACCTTTTAGATGATAAAGACATTAAATTGGCAATCTGGGTATTTAAATATTTAATTTCTAAACCCCCATATATTATAGAGATGCATTTGGATCTGTGATTGCTTATGATTTCACTTACAAAGAAATCATTTTTTAAAGTACAACATTCAAATCTACTAAGAGGTGAAATTAAGACAATATGGAACTAAAAATATTTGAATTATTGTTGCAGGAAAATTAATTGTAAATTCGTAGATTCATTTCTTAATTTGGATATAGTTTCTAAAAGAATACTAAAGGATTCTAATACTAGAATTATCAATCTCTAAAAATACTCATTATGCATATTTGTTTGAACCTTTCTATTTTCCTTTCAAATTGGCTTTTTGTTTCTTAATGCTTTGATCACATAACATTTCATTTTTTGAAAGCCTGAAATTTGACCATCCCAATTCATAATTAAATTATTTGCAAAAATGAATTTTATGATGGATACTGCTTTAGATTTGAGATTCTGAAAGAAGGTATTTAAGTTTAATTTCAGTTTCTGCTAAATTTATCATAATTTCTTTAATTTCTAGTTGTTTTTTTAGTACTTTTCTTTTTCTCTGAATTTTGCATAATTTATTAAAAATTCTAATGAACTGCTCTCAGTGATTCCTTCTATTTAACTAAATTAACTTTTTTTCTTTGATACTTTATCAAATAATATGAACTATAAAATGTCTTATTTATTAGTATTCAAGTAATTTCTCTACTAATATTAAAATTATCCTTTCCATTTCTTTTGAATCTACTCCAATTCCTCCTAGAAATGGCTCTTAAATGCAAATTAATAATTTAGTTATTATTTAAGTTCTGCCAAATATATCATAATTTCTAAATCAGCCTTCCTTGTTTATTCAATTTCATCATAAGCACTAATGCTAGCATTTCTGGCAGTACCAATCAAACCTGCTTTCTTAATATTTTAAACGTGATTCCCTTTTGAATTTTATATTAGTTAAATCTAATTACAATAATCAAATAATTAACAAGTTGATTGAAATATTTTCAATGTATAATTCTTAATAATAAATCAATTTCATAGATATAAGTTTAATTTAAGTAATTACAATATATTGTTTGATATTGATTCTTTCTTTACAATAATTAAATTCAAAATACAAAAAGATATTATAATTTTAATAAGATGAATATTATTAGTTATAATATGTTTACTATTTATTATAATAAGATATTTTTATTTACTATTTGATGATTAATTTTTTAAAAATCATTAATTCCATCTCCTTACTACTTCTGTATTTAAACTAGCTATAAATGAGATTACTGCATTGCCTTTATCAAGGGAAATTTCAGCAGCTTGAACACCTTAAGCTAATGCCATTAAAAATTATGAAGCTGCTCTATATTAATTCCAAGTGTTGGCTTATTTAGCTGCAGCGCATTAAAAAGAAGCATCTTTGATGAAAAACCCATCGCAATCGTTTAAGTGATTTTTACAAAATATATCACCATATTAACTAATGAAACATTAATCAGAACATGGTTTATGATGCCAATTTCTTATTTCAGAAGATTTGCATTAACAATCAGGAGGGCAGCTACATTTTAATCGGATTATTTAGCCCTTATTGACTCCTCCTTTAGGTGGATAATCTACTTTATGTCGATAAGCTAGCATAAGTTATTTAATATTAATAATAATTTTAAGAGGAAGATCTTCACAACTTTAAGATAAAAAAATATTCTATTAAATATATTTAAAAAAAACTAATATGAAATAATTTGATAATTATTCTTGAGTTAATGTTAATTTATTTCATTTTTCATAAAAATATAAAATAGAATAAAAATCTAGTTAATCAATTATTTTTTATATTCTTTTCTTCATTTATCCAAAATATTAAATTATTTGTTAAAAAACAATATAATCTTCAAATTAAAATTTTAAATTCTGTCAATTTATTTCCTAATTATTTATAATTAGCTTATATCTCTAATTCTTATCCAAATTTGACATAATTGATTCATAAATAATTACAATAAATAAAAAAATCAAATTACTATCTTTATTAATTCACAAAAAAAGTAATTAGTCTCCCCTACTTTTTTTATTCTTCAATCTAAATTTTGGAACCATATTTTGAAAATGATAAATAATTTATTCTATTAAATATAAATTTAAATAAAATAGTCACTTTCCTCTTCTAAGTATTTATTAATTACTTAGCCACATATAGACACACTGATTTATAAAACTAGATACGTAAAAAGGATATGATAAATAAATAATAAATTACGTTTGTATAATATTACTAAATTTCTGAACATAATAAATAATATTTAAATATTATTAATATAAAATATGATAGACGATTATAAATATATTTGTTAAGAACACAAAAACAACTTTGATTTTTGAATCTCCTAATGGAATTGCTAAACTATATGTGATGAATGCATATCAAATCACACTATGCAACACAACAAGAACAAAACTTAATCATAAATAAAAAATATCACAATGGGGCACAAGACTGTTAATAAAAATTCATTCAGTTTTTTGATAAATTAGAGAATTAACAAAATAAATTATTTAAGCTTATATCTAATATTAATTTATTTAGGAAATAAATAATCCAAATGAGGATTACAATTAAGAAATCTTAAATTATGGAAGGAATAATACCTGAATATTAAAAATTGAATTTCTATCTCTATATCTTATCTAAATAAAAATAATTAGATCAGTTGAAAGATAATTTTCAATAAATATAAGAAATTATTAAAAAAAAAGTACAATAGTTTTTCAGTTATTAAATATCTACAAATGGTAGTTAAACTAAGTAATCTTTAATATTGAAAAGAAATTTTAATTTATAAATTAGATACTATTTATGGTTCAGAATTATTATAAATGATAAATTATTAATTAACTACTAAGAGTTTAAAATATTCAATTTATTTACAAACAAGAAAGTAACCAAATAATCTTTACCAAACTCATGAAAAGGAAGTTATACAAAATAATAATAAACTTTTCACAATTACTTAATTTTTTACTACCTAATTCTAAACCTTATTTAAAAGCCACATAATACTATCGTAGTTAAGTGATTAAAAGAAGAATGCTTTCATAGATTTTTCTGAAAATTTTATAATTTCTTAATGCTTATGGTTTCACAGGAGCCTTAATTGAATAATTGCAAAATAAATTGAATCAAACTGAATAAAAATTTTTACTTTTAGAAATAACAATGATTTTAGCTAAAAAATTATAAATGAGTTAGAGAATAAGCTCTTGGATAGTGTTTAGAAAAGTGTAAAATTATAATAATAAAAAGGATTAAATGCAAATAAAATTTGAGAAAATCTCAGAATCATTAAGAAATTGTTAAGTAAATTAAGAACTAATATACACTTGCTGAAATATGAGAATTTATAATTAAGAAAAAATTATGATATCTTGGTTACTTAAATTTCTTAATTAAATGCTGCATATAAATAATAGTTAGTATTATAAAACTAATTATTAAAAGACTTTTTTTAAATATGATGGATATTTTAAGGAATACTTAATATTTGTAAATTAATCTATATTTAATTTCCTTGAAAAAAATATAATCATTATCTAATCAAATAAATTCGTAATCCAATTATTTAGATTGTTATCTGCGGTTTATATTAGCAACTTTTCAGGATATTAGTTTAATTACTGTTTTGAAATTCAATTTAAATACCTAGATAATATGCTAAAACTATCCAATTATTGTTAATTTTGTGTAATTCCTAGCTATTTGATATTATTTCTTTAAAGAAAATTTAAGCATTATCAATATTCCAATCTATGCTATTAATTTATTATTGTTCATCATCTATAAATTTTAATAGTATAACAACCAATTTAATTTTAGGATTGTAAAAAAATTAAATCATTGAAATAATATTATAAAATTTAAAGATTTATATAATATTATTTCAATTAAAATTTAATGTTTAATTTCATTTGAAGTATTAAATACTAAATTTAGTTATCTTTTTAATTGTTATATAAAAATTATATAAAATTATTAAAAATAATAAATTTTATTATATTCTCATTATTTTTTTTGGATCTTTACTGGATAAGTATACTTTTAATATTATGCAGATCTTTACTTTAGTAATCTATATTATTATTTTTATAAGATGTCATTTTTTATCAATAAACTGAATTTTATTTATTTATCCTTTTTTCTTTGATAATTTATTATGCTTTTGTATAGAATTCAATTAATCTATAAACATTGAGAATTGCAATAGGCTCTATTGAATTTGATAAAAATGAATTTCAAATCTTCGAGATTGATCATAGAGTTCAATTTTTCTCAAATCTTGTAGAATTTAGCTTCAGAAATTCTTCAATTTAATAATCTAAATTTATAGTTTACATTTTGTAGGAAAGTAAACTGTTTAAACCCTAAACTCATGATAATTAAAACAAAAATAAAATCTAAATTTTCAAACTTGGTAATAAATTGTTTTTTATAATATTTTATTCTAAACAAAATTATAAATTCTGTTTTAAATTATTTTGAATGCTATTCCTATATAATTTTAATAATTTAGGAAGACAGTCAATTTTTATATGACTTATCAGACATGATATTTTATTTCGAAAGAAATTGTTGATATTTCCATTTTAGCTTCAAGATCATTTTCTTAATTAGAATTTTTAGTTTATGAATGAGCTATTTTAATTTAAATAGGTTAAAGGCCTTTGAGCTTTGTAAGATTGTGAAGTATAATTATTCCTCATTTGCTTTTAGTATTATGTTTCAAATAAATAGAGTATATTTTTAAAATCTTTTAGAACACAGAATATCCTTAGGATAATTAAGTGTAACAATCTCATCAGCTAGTTAAAGCTGTGGCATTTTAGTACTAAATTTAATACATGGAGCAGAAGGGAAACTAAAATTTAATTTGCAAAAAATTATAATTATTTTTTCTTCTTTTCTCTCCTCTTAAAGATCTAGAAAATTCTGAAAATTATATCGAAATTTAATAAATTATACTTCTTTTAAGCAAATAGGATTATTTGTTCCAAAATTAAATACATATGGCAAGAATTCCTCCCTCTTCCATGCATAGCAACAATTCTTAAGAAGGATATATACGCTTTAAAATAATGGTTGAAAGTGATGTTTAATTATAAAGTAGTAGAAATAGAAAGAGTCGAACTTAGAGCAATAAAGTTTAAATGATGATTAAATAATGAGATTTTTAGATTTTAACATCATTTTACTCAATCCTTAAGTATCTCCTAGCTTGTATCAATGCATAAAAATTAAGATTTTAATATTAAATCCTAATAGAACATATCTAATAATATCAAATGTATAATTTACAATTGATTGAAAGAAACATTAAAATTAAAATAATATGGTGTTTTTATATATATCTACTTCTTAAACCTCATTTATTTCTAAAGAATTTGCTCTAATTACAAAAAGAAGTATTTCAGTAAAATTAAAAAATTAATCAAAAATTAATTAATGTTTAGTTCTAAGAAATTTATATAATTTGAGTCGGTGTTTAGGTGTTAGTGTAAATTCAAAATTATCATCAATTCATTTACTTTGCTTCCTCTTAAATAATACTCAGAATTTTTAGATATTGATATTCCAAACTTACCAAAAAAATCTAGACTTTAAGTGACTAATGATTTTAAACAAGGTCTTTGTCTTTTTGTTGAAAAATCAGATTAATTTATTTCAATAATATTTTATAAGGGATAATTTAGTTTAATTCTAAATGGTATAATTAAATTACAAATATAGAAATATTTTATATCAAAATCTAACTATTTAATTATTTTACTTGAAAGGATTTAACTATTTAATTGTCCTGATTTAATAACCTATAGGTATATTGTTATCCAACTATATTATGAATTTTCAAATCTAAGATACCAATCATAATTTAAAATTTGTGTTTATATTCTTAAAAGCTATCATTTGAGTTTATATAACAATAAAGTTTGAACATTNTATACTAAATTTAATACATGGAGCAGAAGGGAAACTAAAATTTAATTTGCAAAAAATTATAATTATTTTTTCTTCTTTTCTCTCCTCTTAAAGATCTAGAAAATTCTGAAAATTATATCGAAATTTAATAAATTATACTTCTTTTAAGCAAATAGGATTATTTGTTCCAAAATTAAATACATATGGCAAGAATTCCTCCCTCTTCCATGCATAGCAACAATTCTTAAGAAGGATATATACGCTTTAAAATAATGGTTGAAAGTGATGTTTAATTATAAAGTAGTAGAAATAGAAAGAGTCGAACTTAGAGCAATAAAGTTTAAATGATGATTAAATAATGAGATTTTTAGATTTTAACATCATTTTACTCAATCCTTAAGTATCTCCTAGCTTGTATCAATGCATAAAAATTAAGATTTTAATATTAAATCCTAATAGAACATATCTAATAATATCAAATGTATAATTTACAATTGATTGAAAGAAACATTAAAATTAAAATAATATGGTGTTTTTATATATATCTACTTCTTAAACCTCATTTATTTCTAAAGAATTTGCTCTAATTACAAAAAGAAGTATTTCAGTAAAATTAAAAAATTAATCAAAAATTAATTAATGTTTAGTTCTAAGAAATTTATATAATTTGAGTCGGTGTTTAGGTGTTAGTGTAAATTCAAAATTATCATCAATTCATTTACTTTGCTTCCTCTTAAATAATACTCAGAATTTTTAGATATTGATATTCCAAACTTACCAAAAAAATCTAGACTTTAAGTGACTAATGATTTTAAACAAGGTCTTTGTCTTTTTGTTGAAAAATCAGATTAATTTATTTCAATAATATTTTATAAGGGATAATTTAGTTTAATTCTAAATGGTATAATTAAATTACAAATATAGAAATATTTTATATCAAAATCTAACTATTTAATTATTTTACTTGAAAGGATTTAACTATTTAATTGTCCTGATTTAATAACCTATAGGTATATTGTTATCCAACTATATTATGAATTTTCAAATCTAAGATACCAATCATAATTTAAAATTTGTGTTTATATTCTTAAAAGCTATCATTTGAGTTTATATAACAATAAAGTTTGAACATTTTAAGGCTTAAATTACAATTAATAGCTTTCAAAGAATGTTTTTATAATATATTACCATTACCATCAGAAGAATTTTAAAAGTTAAAAATATTATAAACTTGGATGAGTTTTTACTCGATGTAGCTATTACAGAAGTAAGTGACTTATAATTTACTGAACATGACTATTAAAATAATTTAACAAAATAAAAAGGAAATTTAGATTATCTTGGATTAATATAATCTTTAGTAGAATAAATGATTGACTTGGAAAGAATAAATTTACAATCAATTGAAAAGGAATTTGGAGAACTGCTAATAGAAGAAACCGATCCTTTAAGTCTTACTGAAAGAATTATGAAAAATCTATACTATTATTCAATAGAATTTTCATTAAAAATTATCAATAATGAAAATCAATATCAAAATTATTTGAATATTGAGAAAGAAAATTATGTGTTGTTATTGAAATAATTAAGAAAAGTTAACTGCTAAGAAAATTGTCAAGTGGTAGAATAACTATTCAGTAAGATTTATCAATTATTATATTATTATTAATAAAATCAAATAAGATAAGCACAAGTTGGCCTAATTTCTTGAAAATGTTAAACTTTTTACTAAAAGCCTCTGTGTTTTCCAAAAAAATTAATTGTAAATGTGTGAAAGTTTTTCAAGCTGCTTTTAACAACATATAAACTATTTTAGGAATCGCTATTCACAACTACTAATTTAGAATAATCGGAAAACGAATTAAGTAAGAAATATTTTTTAAGAATTTCGAACAACATATTGTATGGTGAAAATTCATAAGATAATAAAGAATAGTTAACCAACCAAATATTGTTGATTTTCTCTATAAAAAGACGGCTAAAACAACAGAAAAACTAGTAAGGTCTAAGTGGCAATTCTAAGAAATATAATTTTAATAAGAGTATTTAATTCATTTAGCTAAAAAAATACACCTACAAGAAAACGATGAGGAATATGAAGGGAAATAAAATTAATAGTATTAATTCTCTATCGATTAATAAGAAAATAATGAATGGAAAATAAAATAGGATTTAGTATTAACTATAATTTAGATTTNGCATAAAAATTAAGATTTTAATATTAAATCCTAATAGAACATATCTAATAATATCAAATGTATAATTTACAATTGATTGAAAGAAACATTAAAATTAAAATAATATGGTGTTTTTATATATATCTACTTCTTAAACCTCATTTATTTCTAAAGAATTTGCTCTAATTACAAAAAGAAGTATTTCAGTAAAATTAAAAAATTAATCAAAAATTAATTAATGTTTAGTTCTAAGAAATTTATATAATTTGAGTCGGTGTTTAGGTGTTAGTGTAAATTCAAAATTATCATCAATTCATTTACTTTGCTTCCTCTTAAATAATACTCAGAATTTTTAGATATTGATATTCCAAACTTACCAAAAAAATCTAGACTTTAAGTGACTAATGATTTTAAACAAGGTCTTTGTCTTTTTGTTGAAAAATCAGATTAATTTATTTCAATAATATTTTATAAGGGATAATTTAGTTTAATTCTAAATGGTATAATTAAATTACAAATATAGAAATATTTTATATCAAAATCTAACTATTTAATTATTTTACTTGAAAGGATTTAACTATTTAATTGTCCTGATTTAATAACCTATAGGTATATTGTTATCCAACTATATTATGAATTTTCAAATCTAAGATACCAATCATAATTTAAAATTTGTGTTTATATTCTTAAAAGCTATCATTTGAGTTTATATAACAATAAAGTTTGAACATTTTAAGGCTTAAATTACAATTAATAGCTTTCAAAGAATGTTTTTATAATATATTACCATTACCATCAGAAGAATTTTAAAAGTTAAAAATATTATAAACTTGGATGAGTTTTTACTCGATGTAGCTATTACAGAAGTAAGTGACTTATAATTTACTGAACATGACTATTAAAATAATTTAACAAAATAAAAAGGAAATTTAGATTATCTTGGATTAATATAATCTTTAGTAGAATAAATGATTGACTTGGAAAGAATAAATTTACAATCAATTGAAAAGGAATTTGGAGAACTGCTAATAGAAGAAACCGATCCTTTAAGTCTTACTGAAAGAATTATGAAAAATCTATACTATTATTCAATAGAATTTTCATTAAAAATTATCAATAATGAAAATCAATATCAAAATTATTTGAATATTGAGAAAGAAAATTATGTGTTGTTATTGAAATAATTAAGAAAAGTTAACTGCTAAGAAAATTGTCAAGTGGTAGAATAACTATTCAGTAAGATTTATCAATTATTATATTATTATTAATAAAATCAAATAAGATAAGCACAAGTTGGCCTAATTTCTTGAAAATGTTAAACTTTTTACTAAAAGCCTCTGTGTTTTCCAAAAAAATTAATTGTAAATGTGTGAAAGTTTTTCAAGCTGCTTTTAACAACATATAAACTATTTTAGGAATCGCTATTCACAACTACTAATTTAGAATAATCGGAAAACGAATTAAGTAAGAAATATTTTTTAAGAATTTCGAACAACATATTGTATGGTGAAAATTCATAAGATAATAAAGAATAGTTAACCAACCAAATATTGTTGATTTTCTCTATAAAAAGACGGCTAAAACAACAGAAAAACTAGTAAGGTCTAAGTGGCAATTCTAAGAAATATAATTTTAATAAGAGTATTTAATTCATTTAGCTAAAAAAATACACCTACAAGAAAACGATGAGGAATATGAAGGGAAATAAAATTAATAGTATTAATTCTCTATCGATTAATAAGAAAATAATGAATGGAAAATAAAATAGGATTTAGTATTAACTATAATTTAGATTTTATTAAATAGCTTTACAGAAACAATTACTTGATTTTGTAGGGAAATATTGAAAAGTAGAAATAATTCTGTGTAGTTAAAACCGTAAGATAAGAATACATTAAAAGAAATCAAACTTCTAAAATTTAATTCTCAATAAATGTAGGAATATCTAGAAAAATTTTTAATTTAAAGTGTTAAATTGTTGATTTTTGAATTGGTAAACACAAGCTTCAAATAGAAGAGTGATTGATATCAAAAAGTTGAAATTTTTTGGGATCAATTATAATTATTTTTTAAAAAAGAAATATCAGAGTTGAAAGGGGAGAATCTGTTGAATTAAAAATAAATTGACTATATTCATCGTTTTTCTAGAATAATAAGTTTATATTTTTAAAAAGTCATGATGCTTTAAGAAGTAAGAGCGTAAATTTACAAAAACTGTGGAACGTTGAAAAGTATGACAAAATGATAAGTAAATCAATTTAAATAAATTGATGGTAACTCCTTTTATGATGGAAATAGTAGTTTAAGTTGTTGCCCTAAATGATAATTGAAATAAATTATTTGAAATACAATTTTATAAATAATTTTCAAATACGCTTAAAGAATACTACAAAAGTAAATATTTAATTTAAATTTATCAGTAACAATAGAAAAAACTGTTGGTATAAAAAAATTAATATGATAATTCTTAGGAAGTTGATGATGATGAAATATTTGAAGTACATTGTTTGATAAAGAAATTGAATTTAAATTTTGGAATAAAATAGAAGAAAATTCAACTCATATTCAACTTTGGATTTCTTAAGAAAATGTTGGATTTACCTTGAGTTTTGAAGATATTTGTTCAAAATGATTTACTATCAAATTTATAATTTACTAAAGTTACAATTCAAAATGAAAAAATAATTGAAATAATTATTGATACATTAAAAGAATTAAACCTAAAAATTTATGATATTTATGAAGAGTTTGTAAATTAACACCATTAGAAATAAATAGATAAGTCGATAAATCTATGAATATTGATCGTTTTCTGCATGATTTAAAAAAATATTCAACCAACCTTGCGAAAACAATGAGTATGAATGAAAGAACTTAATATTAATAATATGGATTATTGTAAAAAAAATTAAGAGAAAAGGTAAAATTATGGCTAAATGATTGTTTTTATGATGATTATTAATTTGGATCTTATAGAACTGATATACGAAGTTGTTCACTAGTTTAATCAAATAATGCTAACTTTTCATTTGTCCATAAATCAATATAAGAGTTCTTAATTGCAGTTGATTTATATGAAGTGTTAGTTTAATCGAATGATTTTAAAATATAGATATTGATTATTATAATAGAATTGTTGTCAAAAGAAAATAATTGATATTAGGATTACTTAAAATTTCTAGATTAAATTATATAGAAAATTGTATCAATTTTGGAAAAGCAAAAATAATAATTTGATACTTTTAAATAGACTTTTAATTAAATTGCTTGATCTAATCAAAATTGTCATTTATAATGATTTTAATAATTAAAATTATTCCACTGAAATCTATGAAGAAACAAGATAATATCTCATTTAAAAAATATCATAAGAGAGCAAGATTAGAGAATATTTGACATTCTTAGTTCATCTCACGAAAATAGATTCAAATTTTATATATGTTGCTGCATAGTTCTATTTTTTTTCTAACAGAGTAATTTGAAGAATTATAAAATTCATTTTTTAATCTAAACTAATATTTTAAATTCCTTTATCTATAAATCTAACTAAATTAATTTCAATTAAAAATTCTAATGAGTTTCAAACAATAATGATAAAATTAAACTTTCTATATTGGTTTTTTTAAACTTGATAAACAAGTATTGATTTCTCAAAATAGTGGAATTTATAGAAAATAAGTGATTATTTTGCAATCTTTAAAAATTAATACTAAAATATTAATTTAGAATTTATTGATGGGTTTCTTTTTAATTTGAATCATTTGGAAATTATTTAGGAAATCAAATAATATTGAATCATCATCAGAAAATTAGATTATAAATAAATTATAAGTCAATAACTCAAATTAATATTTTATTTAATGATATCAATAGTATATTTAAATTATAATTTTTGGGTTTAACTATAT